TCATCACCCCCATCTGTCTTCACCTCGCTCCCCTTCTGTACTTTATCCAAAACTCGCTGATAGAGAGGATTGAGAGCTAATGGCCTCGGCGTTGAAAGAGGGAGAACGGGTCAGACTGTGCCCAGCCCGAGCTCACCTCTCTGGGGAAGTGGAGAGCTGGACCCCCCAAGTATTACAGACAGTGGAATATTGTTGCAGATGGGTCGATAGGGCAGCGATGACCGCAGGGGGAAACAGGTACTGGTGGTGCAAGGTGAGGTTGGAAAGTATGTATGCAGTGAGAACTAAGGCAAGGCAATCTCTATTTTTGTCAATCTTGATTATCACCATGTGCTTCAAAATCCACAGCAAAATCATGCAATATTTCTCCTAAACTCCCTATTTTGGAAAGTAAACCTGAGTCTCGAAGAGTGTCCCACAATGTTTGGCCTGAATAATAATCCAACTGAAGTTTCCCCTAAAGTATTTATCACATTTTGATATCGCCCAGACCTATCGAGACTTGGACATTGTCAGAGTAGAAGTCTGTCTACCAGAAGTACATATTTCCCAATACATGTGCGCATGTGTAAAACAATTTGTCTAAACATAAAAATAACATCGCGACCTCATAGAAGCTTTTTATTTTAGTTGTATTTGATAATATTGGATGCCTCATACTACAGCGACATTTGCCTCTTGTGACTTATCCAGACTTCATGAAACATTTTGAAATATTGGTGAACTTGTATCTTATATAATATTATCATTAACCTCTACTATTTATGGCTTGATTAATTGTTTGCCCCAAATACAAATGCATCACGGACACGGTACATAAAAGAGGAAAGTTTGGGTGCTTGCATTCATTGACGCATATACAGTGTATTAGCTCTTCCTGTTTTGTTCTTCTGCTCACCCAAAGGCAAAAATGATTCTATTCTGTTGTGCGTGGGCAAGATGTTGTTTGCGTGTGTGTAGGCAAAAGTGTTACAAAGGAAGTAATATGTTCAGCCGCTATGAGATTAAAATGCAAAGTGTGTTAAGATGGTTCATGGGGCTTGTGGGAGGTGCGAATTCTGATTGAAACTATAGCTTTTGTCTAATGTTTTGGCTCCTTACTGTTCAAATGTAAATCTTGGGCATTTGAATCACACTTCTTACTATATAACTACATGAGTCCACGGCAATCCTGAATCAAATATACACAATGCAAAATCAAGACAGCCGTGTCTACTTAAAAAGTGGACATTTAAAAAAACAAACAAAATCTGAATAATGTTAACAGATTTTGAAGATGTAAAGTTCTTTTGTTTTCACCACTGTATTACCGTGCCATGCTTGTGCTTCACCTCAAGAAGGTCCTGGCTTTGATTCCACTTCTGTGTGGAGTTTGCATGTTCTCTCCGTGTCTACATCGTTTTCCTCCGGGTACTACGGTTTCCTCCTGGTGCCACGATTTCTCATACCGCTAAAAACGTGTACAATAGGTCTGTACACCTCCTAAATTACTCACTTACTTTGTTTTATGAATCGGGCTGGGCAATAAATGGACTAATTCAGTCTATTATTCTTTTGGCAAATCGATCTTTTGAAAAACAACACATTGTGGTTTTGAGTGCAGAATAATGAGGCAGTTTCTTCTTGGCACATTATATATTTTTGGGATTTGAAACTTGAATATTGAGCTTCCTTCATTAAATCACCAGTCTTCTGTGAATCAGTGACGACTAACACTATTTTCAAATGGGGAAATATAAAAGCCATTTCACTTTTTTTGCCATACTGCCCAGTCTTATGGAAGATCTGTATTTGTATAGCACTTTTCAAAAACAATGTTTACAAAGCACTGCACAGTCAATATAAAGCCATAACAATCGTCAAGAACAGACAATAAAACGGTCATGCTCATATAAGACATCAAAAAGAAATACAGGAGAATAAAGCAGACAGACGGCACACCACAAAAAAAGACAAAACAAAGACAATGTGGAATAAAACATGTAGAAGTGGAGCATCCATTTGTCTTTTGACTCCCCAAATGCTATCCCCTTGATATTTTGAAACAACCTGTGATAGCGATCTGATTTAGACAAAGTGTGGAAGTACAAAGGGGAAGGTCAGGCTATCAGCTGGTCACTGGTGGCAGCATCACACCACATATCACCACATGACACACTGCTCCTTTGGGTGCTCACATAAAGGCAAACATGACACCCACTCTGACACAATAGTGTGATGGGAGAGCTGTGGCCTGGCTGGGAGCCTATAGAGCATGCTTTATGGATGAGCATATTTACAGAGGTCTGGCTCCTCAGCGCGGTGTCAGTTACCAGATGAAGCCTGGCATGGCCCCCTACGTCCTGCCTGCCTCTCCTCCCACCGATCCTTCCTCCATATGTCCAACTGCTCATGTGAAGATCAGACGGACAAGGTCACACGCAGGTCGGGATGAAAGGGAAAAAGGAAAAGGCTGCAGTGTTTTAGACGAGACATATGGAAAATGTGATGTTTACGCTATATCACTTCAACATGAAAAACATACTAATCTTAGCAATTTGGTTCATTCATGCTTCATGTGATGTAATTGCTAGTTTCAAACGGCTGGTTTTTTTCCCATGATGATTTCCCTCAAACATGCTACGGGCGACATAGTTGAGGACTCTTGCCTCACGCCAAGAAGACCCTGGGTTTGACACCTGGGGAAAGTGTGTGCTTTCTCTGAGTACATGTTCTCTTTGGGGACTCGCTCAAAACTTGGTATTTCATCCCTGGCTGGGGGAAATATTCACATTGTATTCAATTTATTATAATTTTTAAGATTTTAGAGTTATAAATGTTATGTTTTGGGTTATAGTTAGAAAAAGGGAACAGAAAATGTGCTTATGATTAGGGTCGAGGATAATGAAAAGGCTAAAGCTCATGGGGGGACAAAATACCAAGATTTTATATTTTCTCACGATTGTGTTCGTCATGATTTCTCATAAATCCGCTACCACTATAAACACGTCTTGACAGTGCTGATTTACAAGACATTTTCTGTGAAATACAGTACCTCTAAAAATGTTGCAGGTCACATTTATTATTTAGTTTATCGACTCTACGCACCCCAAATAGTGGATTACATTGTTTACACTTTATAGGGGCTGTAAATGAGATGCTCATGTTAAAGTACAACTGTAGTTAAGTTCCAGAGTTTAGTTAGGTTAACTAATTGTGATGTGGTATGTACTGATGTGGTATAACTACAGTGAAAATCTCCTTCAAAAGACGCAGTTCTGGACCCTAACAAAATTCCTGGACCCAGACGGTAATCCAAGATCTATTCATTTGTTCCATTGCCGAGGCTTTCTGAAAATAAAGTAAAAATGTTTGGAGTTATTTTGATAACAGACAGGCAGGCAGACAAGCAGGCCCTGGTGAAACATAACCTCCATAATAATTGGCTTTCTGGCTTTCAATTTCCTTCCCAATAATTTCTCTGTACTGCATGTTATCAATCAGACTATTTTTAAACAAGACTTGAGGTTTTAAATCATGAAATAATGATTCTTAGGAGTCCAAAGAAAAGAATCAAAGAGAGCTTAATACGTCTCCTTAAACTGTACCACCCGCTGTTGTGTTGTCAGCTGAACCCACAAGCTTTGAAGGAAAGTCTGTGCCGCTTTCGAGCTTTTTGAAACTTTGACATGCATGAATTCTGGTCCACAGCCCTTCTCTGCAGCCGCTCTCCCAGTAGATCGTATTTGACAGACATATGACCTTGCTTTTCCCTTCTCCGATGTTTTATTGCAAGTCTCGCTTCTCCCCGAGAGCTGTCGAGGTCTGTATACATAGATGAATTTTTTGGGGTGGTGGCTTGCATCAGAGCCTGGACAGATGATAGAGCTGTAAGCTTTGATGGGAGAGATGGAAAGGACGAGTTTGGTGACATGCCATCAACGGAGCATCGGCCATCAGCCTTCGGCAACACAGGCCAGATTTATATTTCAGTAAATCCATGCCATGAATGTTGAAAGTGAAAGGCGCAGTGCTGGTGCTGGTCCTCTTTGGGTTTGCGAGGGTCATTACAATTCTTTCAGTGCAGTTTGATGGTCTTGGACTTCACTTCAAAACTTTGGAAAACCGTCATTTCGAAAGAGGAGAGGAAAGAATAACGTTGTCCGAGGGCATAACAAGAAATATTTCTGTAAAACACAGTTAACATAATATTGTATTTGGTTCAAACAAAAGTATTATAGTGACATTCTGTTATTTGGTTTTGGATTTAAGCAGCAAATATGACACCATGGCTCAAACTGCCTAAAGAAGCCAATTTGCAGAATTTGCCTTTGCGTTGTAGATGGAAGTCAGTACATCATTCATATGCTAAATTCATAATTTTTATACCTAAAGCTGGGGGACCTAACTTCCAAGCCACAAAAATAATGGTGTAATATTTACCAAGTAACTGGTTACTTGCTTTTGGTTTGTGCTTTTGAAACTTTTTACTTCACAAGATTCTTCCTATTGAGACAGACGACATGTAGAATTTATGAAAAACGTTATGTTCCCCAGTTTTAGCAGATCTGTAAGTTTAAACTTCCATTGATTAACCTGCATAACTGTTGTAAAGCAGGTGTAAAAATAAGACATACAGTATTTTAACACATATATTAATAGCCCTAAAATGCCACATGTGCAAATCTGTCATGTGCACAATTCTGTCTTTCACAGTTAAATCTCTATAGAGTCTCACCCCGAAAGACTTTGCAAAAGAATATCTCACTCTACTCTTTTTGAAACCCTTTTAGATTCTGCCTTTGTCACCTTGAATTCAGTGTAATTCGTCATTTGCTGCTCTAACAATTCACCATCACTGTCTCCAAACGACTAGAACATGCAAATCTCCCACACATCCTGCTAGTCCTGACTGCGACGTCTATCATCCTTGTCAATCACATCCCCTAAGTTGTCGATTCCGGTTGTGATGAGGATAATAATAGCATTGATTGATGTTGTGTGTTTATTTTTGGTTGCAGATTCGTGTGGATGGACCCCCGCATGGAGGAGTCCAGTATGAAACCATCTCGGTCATCAAAGACGGCAGCCCAGTGCTCCGAGACATGGCCTTCTCCCTGGACCGAAATTACCTTTACGTCATGTCTGAGAGACAGGTACGTGCTGTGTGTGTGTGAATGTGTGTCTATTCATGTTGGTTAACACTAGAACTCCCAGAGCAGTCAATTTGATGGCTCTTAGTTAGAAAAGCGTGTGTACATTTGTGATCGTCATTTCTGTATCTATATGTAGTATATTTCTATGTCATTTTGTTTTTAAATTATCTTTTACTTTTGAAATTTAAGTCGTTTTCGAGTCGTGTCGGCTTGGTTTTCCACCAGACCCCGAGAGAGTGCTAGTTACCATAGCAACACACTGTTTACTTGCTAGCAGTTAGCATTGGGTCACTTTTTATCAAACTATTTTTTTTGCTCTATTCCAGTTATATTCACCAGTTCATTTGCAATTATTAAAAGTGAAGATAAAAACCTTTTGTATGCTAACTAACTTTTTTGGGAAATTTCTCCGATTTCTGTTGTTTTAAATGGGGCAGTGTTAGAAGTTTCAGAATCCTGGGAGTTCTAGTGTTAATGCTGTGGAAACTGGGCTTGTGTTGTATCGTCTCCTGCAGAGTCTGAGATGGTCACAGCTGTTGTCAGGACTAATAATACCATCATATTGTCATGCATACTCAGCTAAAAGTGCAGTCGATTAGACTGTCAGAGGCTGATGATATGTGCTGTTTTTTTTGCTCTGTGTAGTGTATGAACTATTCTCTTTGTATGGGCTATATGCACGGGGAGGCGTGACGTCATTTCCTGTTAACGCAGATCAGCCCGTTCACTTCCTGCCTATGCTTTCCTATGGCTTTTAGGTGGGTTTTAGTGACGTTTTTAGTGATTAGATCGATACATTCAGCTGTGAGACTGACCCAAAAGTGTCGCTGTGCTTTCTCTCTGAGGTAGAGCTTCGACTGTGGCCACTCAGAGCGATTTTTAAACTTTATAAAAACACAATTACGGCCCAATCAAAGAGCACTGTTGTGACCCAAAAATGCCCAGTATCCTCACAGTTTAATCCCCGTTTGAGCATTATTTGGGAAACTCGTGTAAACCACTGCTGAACTCCAGTGAAACTCAAGCCATTTCCCGCGAACAGGAAGTGAGGTGGGGCTTTAGCTAAAATGCGGAAGTGGTGCGTGCATAGAGCCCATTGTCATGACGAAACTAATGATTATTGTTCATATCCTTATTTGGACATTTGTTCTGACGGCAATAACTTTGCACGGAAACAGGGGCAGAGGTAGGAGGACTGAAGGTATTAGATTGGTCAGTTGTTAGGGCTCATATCTTGTGTTAATGAGCGAGAGGAGTTTACTTTCCGATTCAAGTCAATAGAAGCAAGAGCGAGTTGGAACAAAACGTTGTCCAAGAGCACTTCCCGATTACTAATTTAAAAGTAGCGGACTCTAATCCTGTTTACACGCATCACAAAGACTCGTCAAAGCAGTTTTCGTCGAACCGAGTCGCCAGCAGCACCTGAGATGGCCTTACCCTCTTCTCCTCCGCCACCATCCCCACCACCCAGCGCCCGGCTATAAATATCCCACTCGGCTCAGCGGGGACACGGTGACAGCGTTTGATAATGAAGCAGAACAATGAGGGCAGGAGAAGAGAGAGGGGAGAGCAGACAGGAGAAAACGTGGAGGTGTGGAGTAGCAGATATGTGGGAGAGAGTGAGTGATGAGCAGGGCCAGAGCGTGACATAGTGCAAGGTGAGGCGTTCGCACGTCTAATGAAGCGGTGCAGTATCGTAATGTCCACCGGGGGCGCTGTGATGCCCTCGTGTAACAGGGTATTTTGGGCTTTTTAACACCTCACCTTTCCTATAAAAAGACTTGTCATTCTTACTTTTGTAGCAGCAGTGGGAGTTGGTGATGGAGCACTTATTAGATGGTACCTACTGCTGAAAATGAACATACATGTAGATACATATATTGCAAACAATGACCTATAAGGATTCCAGTGCCACTTTTTGCCCCTCCCCTCTGCAATATCAACCAACTTTTAAGGTTATAACAGGATTACAGCATATGAGATGCAAGCCAGTGCAGAATCATAATATTTATTTCCCCGTGATTTTGCTTTCTCCCACTGGTTTTTGAGTTTTTCCTATCCAAGGGATTCATGGATGTTGGTTAACCTGCTATATGGACCCGCAACTGGTCCGTACAGGTGTTTTATTAATGCATTCTTTGGCTGTCTGTTTCTATTTATTTTCTAATCTGCTGTTGGAAAATTGAAAATTATGGAAGCCATTTGAGATAACTTCTGTTTTAATTTTGGGTGGTACAAAAATACATTGATTTGATTTTTGGAATGTGTCCTATCGTCCCTGGGCTGTGCCAAAAATCAAAAGATTTAAATGTCAATACTTTTAGATCGCAATTATCATGACCTGAACTAAAAATAGTAAAATTCTGATAATGAGCTAGAAACAGCAGAGAAGTCAAACAATCAGGAGGATATTCAGTCACTCATCATTAAGGTTTGACAAAAAAAGTTCAATATGGTAAAACATTTTTGACTATACTTCTTCCCCATTGTCCAGCCCTAGTACCTAATTCAACATTGAGGACACTCTGGTGCAATCTGCCTTCATTTGGCCCTTCCCCCACTCTGGAGATGAGGAGATGCTGCTTCCAGGTCAGGTGCACAGGTCAGATCAGTCAAACCCACTGAAAGTAAGAATAGAAATGATCCAAACAGAACTAGAACTGTCCAAACTTTTCTGGTTTGCAACTTTCAGTATCTCTGTTCTTCAACATTTGCTAAAATATGCAATTTTGGAAAAGCTTAAGTACTTCCTCAAGGACAGGCAAAGACCTGACAGAAATATTATGGGCCGGAGTGCAGAGCTGGAAATGGTTGTATTTGTGCTGCTGTATAGAAGTTGTGGAGTGGTTGCGACGTGCGAGGCTGTCAGTCCCTGTGATAGATGGCCTTCTCTGGTTTTATCTGTGCTTTCAACACTCAACAAGAGGCGCTGAGGGCTGCAGGTGAAGATCTGCACAGGAGGCACTTATTTAGACAATAGTGGCCACTGCTGACAGGAGCAGAGATGATGGAGAAGAGATTTACAGCTGCCTCTGCTGCAGCTCAATCTTAGAGGATTTGGAGTGATTCAGTAAGTGTACGAGGCGGTAAGGAGTACTCTGCTGATCGTGAGTACTCGGCCAACAAGATTCATTAAAGCTGGATGATACAGACCCTGGTCAATGGTACATTTTACACATACAGTATTGAATATATTGTCTCTATTTAGACACATCCAGCTGCACACATCCCAATCTCTTTTTGGTTAAAATCCAAAAAGATCATTAGTAACAGCACTATTGTAATCATGTATTTGTTTTTTGGCTTCAATAATGCTGATACCAACATGAATGCAATTGTACTATCACTATAACAAACGATGGAGGAGATTAGTTATTCTGTTGAGCTAAAATAAACATTATTGTTTTTTTACATTACAACAATAATAATAATAATAATACATTCTAATTACAATGCACTTTCCACTATTCACAAACAGGCATTAACCCCAGACATTAACTCATTGACTGCCAGCCATTTTTGATGATTTCACTGTTTTTCAAGACCCACAGAATATTATTTCCTAGGACTATGTGAAATATGAAACCATATTCTGAAAGACTGGATTGTCTACTTTCATCAGCAAAAATACATTTGTTTCTAGCTGTTTTTATTGTCCTGTAATCCCCGGTCGAATAGAGGGTCTCAGAAAAATACGTCAATGGCAGTCAATGAGTTAAGTATATTGGTACAGCAGTTCAATAAAAATCATGGTTATTGCACAGGTTTGTAGTAGAACACTCAATATAGTCCATGATAATCTGATTTACAGTGGATTACTTTCAAATATTGTACCTCACCTTTACTCCTTAATTTATTTTGTGTGGATCTTATATTGTTGTTGTGTCTTTATGCAAGCATGCTACCTCTGTATAAGCAATGTGTATACGTAAGTTATTAGAGCAACATCATATCCAATCCACTTCATGTACATTAGCACATTTACTGCACAGGGACAAACAGTAAAACATTCGTCACAGATCAAATTGCCTTTCTGATATTTTAATTTCTCAGATCATGCTCTCTTTCTCACATTAAGCAAAAGCGGTATGACATATTTTAGGCTTCGTTTTGAATGGGTTTTACTAAAAATCTGAGAGAAAGAGTGCGAGAATAAAAGTCTCCCCTGACATGTTTCCCTGTTTAGTAGTATCTGATTGAGCTCATGAAACGCTCTTTTGATGTCGGGCTCAAACTGCTCGTCATCTGAATGAGCTGGGAGTATTATTAGCATGCAGCGTGTAGCCTCCATCGTCTCCCGCTCTCAAGGGTTCTGGCACGCAATACACACTTCACATATCCAGGCCCAAAATAGCCTCTCCCAACCTTAGCCCTTGTTATTCTTTAGAAATATGTTAATTTGAATGTTTGCTAATGAGGCTCCAGTGTATAATATCGGGGTTACTGGTTTGATATCATGTCTCATGTTATGTTGAAATGACTTTTCGATTTCAGAACTTGGATTTAGTTTTTTCATGGGTGTATAGCGTACACATGGTTGTCCTTCACACGACCTAAAACAGCTCTTCCCTGTTCATACAAACGTGAAAGTTGAAATACATTTTAGCTTCATATGCTTCTATCTCAATTTGGGCCTTGTTTTCAAATGAGATGAGGAAGGCCTGTTTTATGGTCAGATTTCTTCACAGAAATCGGTTGCGACACACAACATAGATTATTTGGGGGGGAAAAAACAGATATTGTTGGTACCCCAGCTTTAAACAAAATGCTTCATATTTGTTCTTTAACGCCAGGTCTTCCATCTCATTCGTGTATAGCTCTTGGAGTAGATCCAGAGATTTGACCTCCGTGGGCCTAAATGTCACCCGGGGCGATGCTTTGAGGCGTGGAACATCACAGCTTCCGCCTGGATCTTGGCACCTCTTGTTCCCGTGTGTCGAGCTGCCTGAGTCTGAGGCCAAGCGTGTGGATGGGAGTCGCACAGAACAAAGGCGGGATGA